TTATTTTATTGCATGTATAAAAATATGTATATAAATGTATATAGTTCAAGTGTTGAGCACACAGGCCTTGTAAGAAACACAAATACTAAAAAAATATTACTCTGTTAAATAAAGTTCTACATACCTAAAGTTAATTAATCAAAATTCTTTAATTATTTTTAAACCAAAAAAATGTTCTGATAAAAACTCTTTGGGACCCAAGATGGCAGAGGATTAAGCAGAAGCTACACTAACCTCCTCCCAGGACCAAAATGGGATTACAACTAAATTAAAGGAAAATCATCCTGAATAATCACCTGAATACTACTAGCTGGAGAGAAGCCGTATAACCATAGATATATAGAAGAAACCACTTCACCACAGCAAGACTGGTAGGGAGTGCAGAGGAGGCACAAGAGGGCTGTCTAGGCTCCCACGGACTGCCCTGAAGTGCTGGAGGGGTATTTCAGTGTCCAGGGGTCCCCCCCCGCCGAGAAGTGTAGGTTCTAAACCCCAAGATGAGCTCCCCAGCCTACAGCATCAGAGCTGGGAAAGAAACCAGATAACATCCAGCTATGAAAAGCGGTGGGCTGTCTGCCAGGGAGAGACAGTGGGGAAAGCAGAGAGCCTCTTAAAGGGCCAATGCACAAAATTTCATTTATAGCCAACTACTTTGGGCTCTGCCAGAGGGAGAGCAGAGAGGACTAGAGACATGTGAGGACAGTCTGGGGTTGGTGGCTCTGAGGAGAGAACTAAAGGAACAGCCACTGGATCCCTTGACTGAGTCATTACTCAACTGCAGGAGCCATCTTTCTCATGCAGAGCCCTCCTCACAGAATGGCATCAGCCTGAGGGGAAGCAGTAGCCCAACCCTCAGGAATTACTCTTCCCTACCCTGTGGTGCCCTGCTGTTGAGGAGCACAGTGGAAGATACTCACTGAGTAACCCTACAGAAAACCTGCAGGCAGAGCTGGGTCTCTGGGAGCTCTAAGATTTCAGCTGAACCTCCCCTGGCCTGGTGCTAATAAAGCTGGCATTGGTGCTCAGCCTGGCTCTTTCTGCACACACCCAGGCCCAGCAGAGGGAGCCACATGCTGTGGACTTCTGATAGCTCCAAACAGGTTACCCAGGGCCAGTCACAAGCAGGTTTGACTTAGGCCTGCACAACAGTCTTGCAATCTACCTGTCACACAGAAACAAATGCAAAGAGGCAGCCAAAAAGGGAAAACAAAGAAAGAGGCCCCAAATGAAAGAACAGAAAGGAAAGAGAATTTTCCAGAAGAAGAACTAGATGAAATGGAGGCAAGCAATTTAACAGAGAGTTTAGAGTAATGATTATAAGAATACTCAACAGCATGGAAAAAGCAGAATATACATCGTGTTCAAACACACATGAAACATTTTTTGGAACAGACCACATGCTAGGACACAAAACAAGTCTCGATAAATTTAAGAAGGCTAAAATCACATCAAGCATCTTCCCTGACCACAGTGCTATGAAACTAGAAATGCATCACAAGAGAAAAAAAGCTGAAAAACACACCAAGTCATGAAAGTTAAATAAGACGTTATTAAACAACGATTGGGTCAACAATGAGATCAAGGAAAATATCAAAAGATACCTTGAAATCAATGAAAATGAGGACACAACAACCCAGAATCTGTGGGAAAGGGGGAAGCAATACTAAGAGGGAAATTCATAGCATATAGGCCTATTTAATAAAAGAAGAAAAAGCTCAAACAATCTAACTTTACACTTAAAGGAACATGAAAAAGAATAACAAACAAAGCCCAAAGTGAGTAGAAGGAAGGAAATAATAAACATCAGAATAGAAATAAATGAAATAGAATCTAAAAAATGATATAAAATATTAATAAATCCAAGAGCAATTCCTTTGAAAAGATAAACAATATTGACAAACCTTTAATCAGACTCATTTAAATAGCATCAGAAATGAAAGAGGAAATAACTGACACCAAAAATATACAAGTGATTGCTAGAAAATATTATGAATGACTATATGCCAACAAACTGGACAACCTAGATGAAATGGATAAATTCTTAGAACCATACAATCTTCCAAAACTATATCAGGAAGAATCAGAGAATCTAAAGAGACAGATTATACCTACCAAAATTGAAGCAGTAATCAAAAAACTCCCTACAAAGAAAAGCCCTGGACCAGAAGGCTTTACAGGTAAATTTTACCAATCATTCCTAAGAAAAATAACACCTCTCTTTCTCAAACTATTCCATAAAATTTAAGAGAAGGGAAGTTTACCAAACTAATTTTATAAGGCCAGCATTATCCTAATTCCAAAACCAGATAAAGTCACAACAAAGAAAGAATTGGCCAATTCTTTGGCCAATATAATATTATAGGCCAATACTGCTGATGAACATACATGCTAAAACCCTCAACAAAATATCAAATCAAATACTCAATGCAGCAGAAAGATCAAACACCATGATCAAGTGGGATTTACTCTGAGAATGCAAGGTTGGTACACATTTACAAATCAATAAATGTGATTCACCACATAAACAAAATGAAGGATAAAAATCACATGATTATATCAAAAGATGCAAAAAAAGCATTTGATAAAATCCAACATCCATCTATGATAGAAACTCTCAGCAAAGTGGGAATAGAGGTAACATATCTAAACAAAATAAAGGCCATATATGGCAAACCCACTGCCAGCATCATGCTCAGTGGGCAAAAACTACAAGCATTCCTTTCAAGATCAGGAACAAGACAGAGATGCCTGCTTTCACATCTCTTACTCAACATAGTACTGGATGTCCTAGCCACAGCAATCAGATAAGAAGAAATAAAAGGCATCCAAATTGGAAAGGAAGAAGCAAAACTGTCTTTGGACATGGAGATGGAGTTGGAGATGACATGATACTATACATAGAGAACCCCAAAGATTCCACCAAGAAACTACTAGCACTGATAAATGAATTCAGTAAAGTAGCAGTACACAAAATTAATATCCAGAAATCAGTTTCATTTTTATATGCCAATAACAATCTAATAGGAAGGGAAATTAAGAAGACAATCCCATTTACAATTGCTTTAAAAATAATAAAATACCTAGGAATAAACCTAACCAAGGAGGCAAAAGACCTGCACTTGGAAAATTAGAAGACAATGAAGAAAGAAATAGAAGAAGATACAAATAAGTGGGAGCACATACTATGTTCATGAGTAGGAAGAAATATCATCATTAAAATGTCCATACTACCCAAAGCAATCTATAGATTCAATGCAATTCCTATCACATTTCCAATGACGTATTTTACAGAACTAGAGCAAATATTTCAAAAACTTATATGGCACCACAAAAGGCTTCGCATAGCAATAGCAATACTGAGAAAAAAGAACAAAGTTGGAGGAATCACACTTAATACCAAACTATATTAAAACGCCCTAGTAATTGAAATAGCAAAGTACTGGCATAAAAACAAATACACAGATCATTGGAACAGGATAGACAGCCCAGAAATAAACCCACCATTTTGGAGTCAATTAACATCCAACAGAGGAAGAAGCAAACACATACAATGAGTTGAAGATAGTTTATTCAATAAATGGTGCTGGAAAATTGGACAGATGTGTGCACAAAAGTGATTCTAAACCATCTTCTTACACCACATACAATAGTAAATTCAAAATGGATTAAAGACTTAAATGTTAGGCCCCCAAAACATAAAAATCATAGAAGAAAACATAGGTAACAAAATCTCAGACACAGCTTGTAGCAATATTTTATCAGATTACCCAGGCAAGAGAAACAAACAAAATAAATAAACAGATGAAACTATATCAAACTAAAATTTTTTTGCACAACAAAAGAAAACATTAACAAAATAAAAAAGACAACCCACAGAGTGGGAGAACATACTTGCCAATACATCTGATAAAGGGTTAATATCCAAAATTTATAAAGAACTTATAAAACTCAACATCAATAAATAAATAAATAAATAAACAACACAATTACAAAATGGACAAAGGACCTGAACAGACATCTCTCCAAAGAAGACATACAGATGGTCAACAGACATAAAAAGATGCTCAATGTCACTAATCATCAGAGGAATGCAAAAACTACATGAAAACTACAATGAGATATCTTACACCTGTCAGAATGGTTATCATCAATAAATCAATAAACAAATGCTGCTGAGGATGTGGAAAAAGGGGAACCCTTTTGCACTCTTGGTTGGAATGAAGATTGGTAAAGCCAGTATGGAAAACAATATGGAGGTAACTCAAAAAATTAAAAATAGATCTGCCTTTTGACCTAGAGATCCCTCTTCTGGGAATATACCTGAATGAATTCAAAACACTAATTTGAAAGAACATAAGTACCACAATATTCATGGCAGCATTATTTAAAATTGCCAAGATATGAATGCAGCTTGTGTCCATCAGTAATGAGTAGATAAAACAACTATGGTACCTTTACACAATGGAATACCATTCGGCCATAAAAAAGAAAATTTTATCCTTTGGGACACTATGGATGGACCTGGAGAATATTATGCTAAGTGAAATAAATCAGTAAAAGAAGACAAATACCACATGATTTCACTCATATGCAGAATCTAATGAACAAACTGAACTAACATGGAAAATAAAGATCAACTAATGGATAGTAACAGGACGAGAGCTGAGTGGGGCATGGAAGGACAGGGAGGAGAAGGACTGCGCAGAAAGGGAAATGGACTCATGGACACCGACTGCTTCCATATCTTGTGTGGTGACTGGGGGCGGGCAGAGAGAGCTATAAGGGGGACTAAACGGTAATGCAAAAAGACATGATTAAAAAAGGAAACTACTTGGCATCATATAAATATTAATTTCATAAGAAACTTTTTAAACTATAAATAAGTAGGCATGAATGTATCCATGTTCACAAGCAGAATGAAAATAGTATTAATCTCCTCAGTACTTTCTTTTTCAAATTATAACAAAAGCACTAAAATAACATGGCATTTGATATTTTACCTTGTTTTAGGTCAGCATTTCTTGTAACTTCTGACAGATAGCAGTTTGGTAAAGGATATGATGAAAACATTGGCCAAGGATATGGGTCATCACCCTAAGAATGAAGACAGGTGACTTAAAAAGCAGTTTAAAATAATCTTGAATTTTAAGGGGTTCTGAAATATCATTCATTGAAATTGGCTTTGTTTTATTATAATTCTAAAGTAGTACCCTAACTAACCCAAAGCTATTACAACTCAATGCTCTAATGAATAGTAACTGAAATGAAATAGAATAGACACAACATTAAATAAGTGGTGATGACAAACGTATGGCAACTTGTTCTAGCAAGCAGAACTGATAATGATAGCTTTAGTATTTTTCTCATGAAAGAAAATGTATGGTCTTCAAAAGACGTCTGTATATTTCCTAGGTTGCTCACAAAACTGTTTCTCTTGTACAGTCAGTCATTTCTATCCCCAGAGCGAGTGACCGCCAAAGCAAAATGTACCCAATAACATAAAATACCTGAACCCTTCGAGAGAATCCCAAACTCTTAATATTAATGGAAGGAGAAGTACACAATATTGCTAAATAGATACAAAAAATATATGGACATTCAATAAAAATTAAGTGGCATGAAAGAGAAAGACATCAAAACTAAAAAATTCAAAGACACACAAGGAAAATGGTAACTTTTAAGTAAAATAATACTCTACTCTGCAACACAAACTAGCACTGATGACCTATTGCCATGAACAGTATTTTTGTTTTGAAGGTGTTTGCTTTCATCCTTAAATTTTCCTACTAATAATAAAGGTCACCTCTGTGACATAGACACTTGATAGTTGTTGTTTAGTGTCAACAGAGTTGGCTATCTTGCTTTAAAGTCTATCAGAAAAACATTTCCTCCTCCTCTTAACCCCACTCACCTTCTCTAGCATCCTGGGAGGCAAAATTCGTTCCACTGGTCCCCCAATAAGATTCATTCTAACAAGAACATGATTTCTCTCTACTGATAAGCCATCAATTATAAAATCTCTGAAAAAGAAACATCAATTTTGTTATTTAATTAAATATAATTTAATTTTAAATCAAGTTACTAGAATGTAAGAAAAAGGAGGCCAATTTCTGTACAAAAGTCTGGAAAATAGATTATTCATTGTTTTTATTTAGAAATACAAGTGGGACAAAAGTAGGTTTGTAGTTGTGAGTATGCAATACAAAATTTATTCTTATATTACTATTTATTATTATATTATTTTCCATATGAACAACTGTAAACCTACTTTCCCCCCACCCTGTATGTTTATTCTTTTTTCTTTTCCCACTTTTCTTTTTTATGAGTTGTATTTTACTGTTTTTCACATTAATAGAAGCCATAACATCCTTTCTAAAGTTCTTCCCCTCCCCTAGTACTATTGGCCCACTTTTGACTGCCTTTCAACACATTTGTGGCTAAAAATTTTGATGATACACCATCTCCCCAGCCCCACTCAATCGTTGGGGTTATTTCTAGGATGAGAAAGGAGAAATGCCAACTCACACTGCCATATTTAAACTATGGTTTTGCCTTGTTTAAATTTAAAGTATTGTTTTGTTGTGGTTCCATTTCATCGTACCTAGCAAAATGTTTTGAATTTTATAAACTAAGTCTGGAACAGTTCTCTGAATTGATAATAGTAGATTTTCCCTTTGTTTTATATGCATTTGGTTAGTTTTGTTAGGTCATGGGGAATTATATTGAATTGCCTTTTTTGACTCTTAAATGTACCCACCAAACATTTTTCTCTCTATTTATGAATGCTATTAAGTAGATAAAACATGTAATTGTACCAAAATTCAAAAACTATAAAAATACACAGTGAGAAGTATATTTCCTTCCAGTTTCTCAGATTCCTTTCTAATTCCTACAGAGTTAACAATTCTTATAATTTCATTTTTTTTGTCCTTGGAGAGAGATTCTGTATAAAAACAAATATTTGTTTATGAATATATTCAAGTGTTCCTCCTTTTTTGTTCAAATGATACCACTGGATACAATGTTTGTGCCTCTCCTTTTTCACTTAACTTTACCTTGGAGATAATTCTTTATCAAAACATATACACCTGCTCTGTACTAGTATCTGCATAGTACACCACTGTACAAATGTATCCCAAACATTTAAAGTTCCTGCTATGGATGGACATTAAAAAAATTTTTTGCCCTAACCAGTGTAGATCTGTGGGTTGAGCATTCTCCCACAAAGCAAAAAGCCACTGGTTTGATTCCTGGTCAGAGCACATGCCTGGGCTGTGGGTTTGGTCCCCAGTCAGATTACATACAAGAGGCAATTGATCGGTATTTCTTTCTCACATCAATCTTTCCTTCCCTCTATTTCTCCTTCCCTTCCCCTCTCTTTAAAAATAAGTAAATAAAATCTTTAAAGAATTGTTTTTTGTGCTTTTATGACCATTCCACATTAAGTATCCTTGTATGTAGGCCATTGTGCTTGTTTAAATATATGTCTAAGATTATCAGTGTATCACTTAAAAAGAGCAAAATTCACTCTGTATCTTATAGCTTTCTTTGCTAAAAAGCAAAGAATTCATGGAAATATAATTAACATAATGAAAGGAATGAGATTAATAAAGGAATACTTCCTTGACAAGTACTATTACATTTTTTTAAATGGGGTTAAGACATACATTATTTCCACAATGACTTTATCACATTTTTAGTCAAGATTCCCTTAAGTTTTAGACCCAGCACCTTAAACTCAAAATCTGAATGTTGCTTTTAAACAGCCTCCACCCTTCCTAAAGCTGTCAATACCATCCTTCTGGAAATCAAACCTAGAGTACCCAGTAATGGCTCTGGTCTTCTGTAATTCTCCAAGACCCAGCTAAGATGAAGACTTACCCTTTTTAAAAGTACAGACACAAAAACAATACTAGCTATTGAATGTGCATTCAGTAAATGTCAGCCATATTGAGGGAATGACCAGTGTGATAAATTAACAGAAAAAATTATACAGATACCATCATAACCTCATTTTGCAATAATCAGAATTTATGACTATGAACTAACATAACTGAGAGAATGGACAAAAGAGCCCCTCTACAAGGGATAAAAATTCAAACATTTTGTTTAATGAGTCATCTTACACATGCTGAATTTAACAGTGATAAAACTTCATGGAGCCATTAAACAAAGTTAGCGCTTAACTATTTTACAAAACCAAAACAAAAACAAAAAACTAAGTTAAACCAAAACTGAGAAAGCAGTATTCTGCAAGTCCTTTCCAAGAACATCTATCAAAATATTTCCAACTGTGACATGTATGCTTTAATTGCTTTTGTTATTCTGTTGTTTAAATGTGTTGAATTCAGAGAATGGAGAAACATTAAACAAACTATATGGAAAATTACTATCTCAACAGAGCATCTGTAAACAAACAGACAAACAAACTGTTTTCATTATCATGGTTTAATAGGCTTTCTTTCCTTTTAGTTTACCTGTGGCCCTCAGAGGTCTCCAGGATACTTTCTTCTTGAGCACGCAGCAATATTTCAGACACTTGATACTGAGCCTCTAATAGAAGGAGAGTGTCTAGACTACAGCATATCACACTTAATAACCTGTATAAAGAGAAATAACAAAAAGTAGATTTTACAAAATAGATCCTAAAAGTGTAGAGACTTTCTTAGTGTCTTAACTATTTACATATAAAATACAAATTTTAAGAATGATCATATAGTTATTTCAGATATACAGGGTCTGGCAGAAGTAACACCTGCTTGAATGTGGTTGGTAGGGTAATAATACAGATGTGATAATTTATAGTTTTAATTTGAACATTTCACCTAAAATGTCATATGGTATGCATGAGTGTGATATTTTATGTTATAGAATTACATGCTTATGATTTTGTAATAAAAGATTTTATAATAAAAAGGGGGCATTATTTGTGCCAGACCCTGTATTTTAATCAATTTAAACAGTTAACAGACTGTTAAAAAAAAAGTTTTTTTGTATGAAAATTTAAGGACCATGGGTAACTCCAAATCAAGCTTTAAAAAAAATTAAATCTAGAAATATTAAGTTTTTTCTCAACTGCTAGTTAATTTAAAATTTAGGGAGACCCTGGCCAGGTAGCTCAGTTGGTTGGAACACCATCTTGATATGCCAAGATTACAGGTTTGATACTCGCTCAGGGCACATAAAAGAATCAACCAGTGAATGCATAAATGGAAGAACAACAAATCAATGTTTCTCTCTCTCTCTTCTTTCCTCCCTTTCTGTAAAAATCAATAAATAAAAATAAAATCATAACATCAGTAATTCATAAAAACAGCAATTTCACTGCTGCTAAGAATCCTGAAACACCAATTCCAAAGAACTTATTCACCCTGATGCTCATAGCAGCATTATTTGCAATAGCCAACTGCTGAAAACAGCCTAAGTGCCCACTGGTAAATGAGTGGATCAAAAACCTGTGGTACATTTACATAGTGGAATACTATGCAGCCGAAAGAAAGAAAGAACTGCTACTCTCCTCAACAGCATGTATGGAACTGGAGAGCATTATGCTAAGCAAAATAAGCCAGATGGTGAAAGACAAATACCACAACATCACCTTTAACTGGAACCTAATCAACAAAACAAACAAGTGAGCAAAACAGAACCAGAGACATGAAAATAAAGAACAAACTGACAGTGACCAGAGGGGATGAGGGAACAGGGTAACTGGAGAAAGAAGCGGAAGGGGCAAGTCAAGGAACATGTGTAAAGGACCGCTGGACAAAGACAGTGGGGGTGGCAGAGGATTGAATGTTGGAGGTGGGAGGTAGGTAGGGCAGGGGAGAGCAATGGGGGAAAATGGGGACAACTGTAACTGAACAACAATTTTAAAAAAAAGAAAGGTTATGCCAATGCCACAGCAATAAAGGCATTAAAATGTTTTTTAAAACTGCAAATTACTACCACTTTTGTTTCACCAATTAATTACAAAAGAAACAACAGAATCATTTTGCAACCAGTCCAGGAAATGTTTCTTAGGTTAAATGTCAATGGTTAACTTTTTAATTCTCTGGTAAAGCTGAGAAAATATAAATATTTTCTGAGTGAATAAACAAGTGTGTTTTTCAGTACCAATAGTGGGTAAAATATAAAATGTTACAGAGAAGTCAAGTAAAAGGAATCATACAAAGATTACTAAACATTACTAAACATTACCTTAACATTACTAAAAGGGAGATGAGTAGAACCCATGTGGTTCCTATTGTGGCACAGAGAATGTACACCACACCGCCTACAAAATACTCTGGCCACGAAACTGAACCTGAAACTAACCAATCCTAGGAGAACACTCAGATGAAAAACAACCCTCTTTTAGAGCAGTGTGAATGGCACACAGCACAGCACAGGAGGATCCCTGGTCCTACTAGAGTCCTTCGTCAAGGGAAAAAGGTGGAACAAGGAATCACAAATGAACCAATTATTTATTAAGGGTTATAGGCTATAGAAACAATTACTAATAAGTAAAAGTGACTGCCTCCATGGTAAGGTCAGTGGAAACAGCTCAAAAAGGGGACAAAACACACACAAGAACTTAGGTCTACAGAAAAATTCCAGCTAACCAGGACCATGACACCCTAACTCCTCATCAACACAAAGGTTTAGGGAGAACTTAGTGACCTTTTTCTTTCGTTAGGCTACTAATTCAGTGAACATGTCCTGGAAATGAGTCTCAATGTCCTCGAGTTTCTGATTTAAAAGAAGGGTTCTGTAGGGTCTAGACCAACCATGATAAGACACAAGATGAACTGGAGCAACTCTGAAAGCAAATAAATGCCTGAGCCAATTTTTTCTCATTCCAGGTTGAGCGAATAGAAACTGTAACAAGTGATATAAGACTTTTAAGATCTAGCAAATACTAGGAATAATATAAAGCTTAGCAAATTTCATCCAGCAGTAAATTAAAAAAATATAGTACACTGTAACCAAGGACAGTTCATTCCAGGAAGAAAAGGATAGTTTAATATGAAAACATCTCCTAATGTAATTCATGACATGAATATGTAATGGAAAAGAACCATATAATCATCTGACCAGATACTTAAAAGCTACTTGATTTAAGATTCAACATCCACTTTCTATTCCCTGTCCTCCAAAAAATTCTGAGTAAATTAAAGAAAGGTTACTTTCTTTAATTTGATTTACAAAACAAATTTATCTCAAGGCAAGAGCTAAAAGCATAAACAGGAAAGCATTCCCCTTAAGGTCATGAGGGAAGCAAAGTCATCCATTATTATTTAACAGTGATCTAAAAGTTTAAGCCAATGCACAGAAATTTATAAAAAAAGAGACATGCTATCTGACAAGAGATAATAATATCCATTACTAGAAGGTGATAAAACTGTTTATTTGGCAACCATCTCGTCCATGACACAAAATTCAATTTACTTAATTTTAAGAAATATTGGTTGAATACCAAGTATCTACCACCATTTTAAGTACATTGCTGAGGACGCATGCATAAAAATTCCAGTCTGTATGGAATGCAAAATAGTAGTGGAAGGGAATACACAATGAACAAAATAAAAAGTTAAAAACCAAAACAAAAAGCAGTATAGATAAAATTAAACCAGAAAAGTATATACAAAGCTCTACTGAGGGGGCAGTGTGGATGAATAACTGTGTGCAATTTTAAATAAGGTGGTGAGGAAAGTCCCCACCAAGGTGACACTTCAGTGAAGAATGAAAAGAAATGCAGAAGCAAGCCATGGAGTGATCTGGGGACAAGTGTTTCAGGCACAACAGCCTGAGCAAAGGACCTAAGGTATGTCTGGCATGTTTGAAGAACAGTAAAGGGGCCTGTGTAGCTAACATGAAATAAATAAGGAGGAAGTATTAGGAGATGATGTCAAAGTAACATGAAGGGTCCAACTCACACAGCACTCTGTAAGGCCATTGTGAAGTTTTTCTTTGTTGACATGAGAAACCAGTGGAGTAGGATTACATCCTCATGAAATGAAAAACCTTGTGAGTACAGAATTGAGATGATCTGATCTGTGTTTTAATAGGTTCATTCTGGCTGCAATGTACAGAATAGGCAGAAACAGAGGTATAGATACCAGTTTTTTAAAAAAGCTATAGTAATAATTTAGATAAGGTAATAGTTTAAAACTGAGCATTGTCAGTAGAGGATCTATAAATTAAAAGAAAGGCTCTGTGGTAGAATCTTAGGGTGGTCCCCACACCTCCCACCCTCCTGGTACTCATGCCCTTGTGAGATTCCCTTCTCTTGGGTATTGACAGGACTTGTGAATTCCCTCTAACCACAGTGTACTACAGGTGATAGGATAGATGTGATTACATGATTGCATTACATAAAACTCTGTGCCCTTCTTGCTGGAGTCTTTCCTTTCCACTGGCTTTGAAGAAGCAAGCAGCCATGCTAAGAAAGGACCATATGGCAAGGACAATAGATGACCTCTAGGAGTTGAGAGCAGCCTTCAACTGACAACCTACAAAGGCCTCTAGGCTCCATGCAGGAAGAAAACAAGATCCCCAGTCCTAAAGCCATGAGGAAATAATTCCAATAATTTCCGTGAGTGTGGAAATAGATCCTTCCCTAATAGAGTCTCAAATGAGAAGACAGCCACAGCTGACACTTTGATTATAGCCTTGTGAGACTTTGAACAGTAGACCCAACTGAAGTGAACCTAAACAGAAACTGACATAATAATTGTGTGTCGTTTTAAGCCACAAAGTTTGTGGTAATTTGTTACACACTGATATAAAAATAACACAAACTCCAAAGTTTATACCTAAGCAACTAAAAGTATGATGTGCTTGCTATTTGGTTAAAATGCAGAAAACCACTAGAAGCTGGGGAAAATTGTGTGTGTGTGTGTGTGTGTGTGTGTGTGTGTGTGTGTGTGTGAGAGAGAGAGAGAATTAAGTAAGGTGACCATTAACAAAAGATAATTAATAACTTTAATTTGTTATACCACTAACAAATTAAAGTATTACCATGGAAAATATATCATATTAACAATAGCAAAAAAATAGAAAAGATAAGAAATGCACAGGACCCAAATGAAGAGAGCTACAATATATCACTGAAGAATGCAATAAAGTTCAATAGAAAGACAGTACCTACCAGGAGGAGAATATTAAATGTTATAAAGATACGCATTCTTTCCAAATCAACTTAAATTTAAATGTACATTGTGTGCTAATTTAATAAAAAATTTCAAGCTTTTTTAAATAAGCTCAACAAAATACCTCTACAATAACCTAAAATAAATTTTTAAAAGAGAATAATGAAATGAATAAGTAACTTGCAAATCTACACAATTTTGTGGACATTTATATCTATGAGGAAACTACCATGTTCTAAATTTGGGAGATGTACAACATATGAGTCTCATAATAACTGTGAGGAAGGTACAGTTACTGTCTCCATTTCACATATGGGAAAGCAGAGGGACGGAGAGGGTAAGAATCTTGCCTCAGATCACTCTGGCAATGTGGTTCCAGAACCCACGCCCAACCCCTGGGTGACGCTGCCACATACTGGGGAATGTAATATAAGACTACAAGTATTAAATTCACAAAAGATACAAAAGAC